CCAGAATTGCACAGCATGATCCCTGTCTCTAAAAGACAAAACAAAACAAAAATCCCTTATCTGTTTAATTAAATTGCCTTTGAGCTTGTTAAACACCTTATGCCTTTGCATATATATCTCTTTATTTCTTCAAACATTTGGACCATTTTAGTTTTGAGTTCTTTACCTATCATTTGCTCTACTTCATTGCCTATAAGAACAGCATTTGGGTGCTTTGGGGGCATCTTGTTTATTCATGTTTTTATTGCTTTCTGCTTTATCGTATTTTTACTGCTTTTTCATGTGATTGAAGGTCAGTTAGGTAGAAAAGCTCTGCCAGAACTGTGGATATCTCTTTAGTTAGATCCTGTCTCCTGTAATGTGTCCTTGGGTTTGCTTGTGTTTTAGTATTAATACCTTTTTCAACCAATTCTGCACAAGACTCAAGGCTCTTAGTATCCACTCTCCTGGGGTTTGATCCCAGGGGACCAAACAAGATCGTGGAAAAAACAAGATTGTGTTTCTGTGAGAAATGCAGCCATGGGACCTCTGCCCAGCCCAGCCTTGGCCTTCTAGAATGCTGTGTTCTTTTCTCCGTGTTGGCTTCAGTTTCTTAGTTTCTCCGCTAGCTATTTCTTGATTTTTGGAACTCCACTTCTTTTTCTCTTCACCAAGTTGCTGCTTTCTAGGTGTCTTCATTCCAGGCTTTGGCGAGGCTATCAGAGGAAGCTGAATCTGAACTCCGGGCCTTCCCTGGGCGTGGTCTATACTAGAGGGAGTTTTCTTCATCACCTTCCTGTATCTCGCTTGATGAGAAACAGTATGAAGATTAAAGGCGTAAAACTGATGATTCGTTTCTTAGGCAAAGGAGAGAGAATTCATGATCCAGGGTGAGTCATCATTCCTACTTTCCCCTATGCTGACTCATCACTCTCAGGCTCTGTTCTTGGCTTCCCAGAACGTCCTGCTTTGGGGAGGTCAGACGCTTTATATGTCCCAGGCTCCTTTTGCCTCCTGAACCTGCAGGCTGCCCCATTGGCTGGGACAGTCTGACCCAGGTACAACCGCAGATGTAGTCCAGGCCAGCAGACTGAGAGGCAGGAATCTGAGGCTGCTGCAAAATCTGACTGTAGGCAGCAATGAGATCTCAGAGAGATGAGCTTTTCTCGGGTAGGTGGCCACCCAGAGAGACCCAATTTATTTAAAACACTACATTTCAATTTTCATTTGCATTTCACGGATGGCTAGTGATGTGGAGCATTTTTTCCTATATTTATTCGCTTCTTTAATTTCTTCCTCTGAGAAGTGTGTGTTCATCTCAGATGCCCAACATTTCAATTTTTCAGAAAGAAGGGCTGGCGAGCACAGGGACCAGGGTTCAATCCTTGGTACCACATGCCGCTCCAGACCCGCCCCGGGCACCCAGAGCTGGTGACAGAGTCTGGGCGTGGTTGTGCACGCCTGTAATCCCAGTGCTGAGGAGGCTGAAAATAGGAGGATCATGTATCCGTTACATCAATTCTCTCGTTGCTGGGATAAATACCTGACACTCAAAATGAGGGAAGAAAGGTTTATTTAGCTCACAGTTACTGGAGGTTTCAAGACACTGGAGGAGAGGCTGGGACGCTGCCTATCCAGAACGATCCACTACACTTCTCTGAGAAAGCACGGGGTAGTCAGTTTAACTGTTCCAGCCTCTCTGGCCCCGCCCCTCAGGTCCTGCCCTGGTCCTCTGGCCCCGCCCCTCAGGTCCTGCCCTGGTCCTCTGGCCCCGCCCCTCAGGTCCTGCCCT